TGTAAAATAAGTTCCTTTCAGGTCTTTTTCATTTTCACTTTCACCTTTGACAGAAAGGGAGAATTTAAAACTCTGCAGGGATTCCACAGGAAAGAATTAGAAAGAAAGGACTCATAATACAAGTGTCACAGGCCACAGTACAGAACGTAAAGGTGTGAGCTAAGTCTTTAATAATGTGTTCTGTCTCTAAGGTTGGTCACATGACTGTGTCACGCTCACCTTCTGAATTTAGAGTTTATTCCCTACATTTTCTAAACTGTGCTCTGCCTTCATGTGATTCTTTGTGGTTCGTTCTAGATGAACAAGTCAAATCCAGGACACAAATGATATTTCAACAACAATGTTGAATGATATAAAGAATCAGCACAAGAACAGAAAGGTAAAGGTATATGAAACAACAACAAAAACAACAAACGTCAGCCCTAACAAGGGTCAGGAGGAACAAGCTAAGGTCTGGACAAAACACCGCTCCACACAGAGACAAAAGAAAACCTGAGCAGCAGTGAAGCAGGGTTTAAATAGTGAGGGGAGGAGTTAATGTTAATGGACCACAGGTGAGGAGAGTTATGTAATCACCTTGGAGGGAAACACAGGAGGTGGAGACATGTGGACAATTAGTTTGAGAAACAGGAAAACAATGAGCAAAAGCTAAAGAAAGGAGAGAACTAACCTAAAAAAAGAGAAGCTTATTATGTTGTAATTTGTTTTTGGGGTGCATGTTCTTTCGTCGTTCCGGGTTTAATGTTTATGCAAAATTAGATAAATTAAAAAAGTTTGTTTCCATATGAAAAGATCTACATTACATATCTGGAGAGAAAGGAAAAAACATCCACAATTGCTTTAAATCTTTCAATAAATATTAAGTTTGGTCCGCGACTTTGTCCCCATTTTTTGATTTTAATTCAGGAAAGTTTTCTTATGTTTTCTTGATTTCTGACATTACTATACAGTAAGATATAAAATAATTTGCCTTGGATTCACATGGACCACTACATGGTCCTAAACTAAACTGCATAAATGTCCCTTTTAAATTTCGGCACCTGATTTTAATAAAAAAATGAAAAATATCAGTGTAAGACAATGTCTACCCTATAATCCTTTAGAAACATTTTCTATCAATAAATTAAATATTTTAAATATATTCTTTTTTGGAGTTGGTGTTTAACTAAAGCAGTTTTCCGATGCAGTTTTTTACACTGCATTTTAAAAAATATATATATAATTGACTCAGTAAATCTTTACAGGTTGTCTCCCGAGGAAACCAGAGTATAAATTCTAGTTGAACCCAGATTAGCTCACGACTTAGTTCTGGTAAATCTTCCTCACTCCTACTCATGCTCTGTGAATGGTTCCAAAAACACATTTCTGGAACATATCCGCTGATGGAAACTCCAGCAAGAAAGAGTTTTTAAGGTAGGTGGTTGATAGATGTTGCAGGAAAAAAAAAGTTTTACCCACTGTGTCTGCAACTGTAAGGAAAACACTGCAGGATTCCTGTAAGTCAGCGAGGCCATGACCATGGAGCATCGGCGCCTGGAGGCGGTGTGTTCCACGCTGCTGATGCTTATGCCACAGGTGGCCTGTGGTGCAACCTAATCCTTTATAAAATTGAAATGTTTCTGCCTTGGGATGAGGTTGGGGGTGTGAGCGTGATGCGACCGTCCCCGAGGAGTCAGTCAACCATGTGCACGAGGAGAGATAGCCTAATCTTGTAAGAGGCAGGTGGGAGGGGTGATGTATTAAGTCGCAGGCTATCAGTAGCAAAGACTCCCGCTCAAGGAGATGATTTGTAAAGTCATTTAAGCGTTTGATAGAAACCGAGAAACTATTTTTGTGTCCTTCCGGCGGGATTTGCTTTCTTTTTTAATCCATTATCATCATATGCATAGATTATTTATTTCAATAATTCACACACTTAACCTTGAAACTACTCCTCTGCTCACACTTTTCCGCAGAACGATTTTTGGCCAAATATTGAAACGAGTTACCAGTTTTAGTAGTTTTATTGTTGCTAATGTCGTAATTGGACGTCAACAGGTGTGTCGTAACATCTTTTATATCGTAACAAATCTAACGGTAAAACCAGTGCACAGGTGATTGTGCTGAAAAGCCGTTACGATGTATCGGCACATTTCTGAGTTTGAGTACGAGTAATCGGCACATTTCTGAGTTTGAGTACGAAGTATCGGCCCGATTTAACGAAGTATCGGCCCGATGCCAATACTGGTTTTGTTGCATCACGCATGTCACACTTGATATCGTTATGATATCGTTCTTACAAAAGGGTGGTCATCCTGCCAATATGAACCCAGTGGAACTATTTCTATCTGAATATCTGAAGGTTGATTTTTTTATTATCTCTAATCAACATCAATCATCTACATCGACGATACATTTCGGTTGTGATTCATCATAAACGTCCTAATTGAGTCTCCGTGAACCAGCTGTATCATGGTGTGACATTTGGTAGCTGCTTCCAACTTAGCACACTGTGTTCAAGCTAATTCAGCAGCAGGTTGGATGGAGCGGTGAGGTCTGGTCAGTGTGATTGGCAGGACTAATTATTGAAACCTGGCTTTAAGTGAAGGAACAACAGTCAAACAACACTTGTGGTTAAATACCTGCACAATGAGCATTTGTTCTTAGTATTACAGTGTGTAGATGAAAGTAAAGGCAAATACTCCAAGGATCCACCCATTACTGACCGGACAAACCAGATGTTTTTCTAATAATCTAATAATAAGTCTGCAGCCCAAGAACATATCTTAATTTCATCCAGAGAGCGTTTCTCTGCCTCCAGCTAACCTATAATTGTTAAGTCTGGAATCTTCTGAACTACAATTTACTTATTTATCTTGTTGTTTTTCTTCCATCAAAATAAGACATGGTTGTGTCTTATTTTCAGTTTCTGTGAAAACATGCTCTGCCTTACTGCGTTCCCCTGTTTCCAATTACCTCTGCGTGTCAGTTCTGCTGATGCTCCCTCTGCTCCGTGGACGCTCACTTTAAAAAGAAAATTAGAAAGACTTTCGTTGTGAAACATGAACTGTAGTTGTTACTGTGGTTTGTTTTTCATCATTTAGCTGTAGTTATTTTGGAATGACATACAGTACCTACACAGATATAAGGAAATATGTTACTGGGGGTTAGGGGGGAGGTGGGTGAAACTGCCTTTAAGGTATGTGAATTTCTTCAGGACCACTAGAAGTGTATGGTGGTGCTCTCAGCTGTAGGAATGTCTGTACTGAACTTTTGGAACATGGAATGCTGCAAATGTTGATATATAGCCCCTCCAGGGGGCAGTACACACACTTCAGTTGTTAGGGAGGGTAAGGATCAGCTCAGATCAGAAGAGACCAAGTTTGCAAAGATATACAGTACATTCTTCTTTTGTTGTGACAACTCAGTGGTGAAATGTTCAGTTTTTATATCGGCTTATGTAGACAAATCTGTCCAGTTTAACATTTAACATGCTGTGAAGTTTATATACATGGAGTAATTTCAAAGAAACCTGTTATCCTAGTCCTGGTCTCCATACTGCAATACTCACACTATGGAATAAAACTTTCTCACCCTTTACTTTGAAGCCAAAATGTGATGAAACAGAGCGTTGCCAGTTATTAGGTCTATAAACTATAGAACAGATGAAAGTGTCTCTGTAGCTGCTGTCACAGTCGATGGGAATGTTTTCTCGACGAAAATTAAGCATGAGTGGCTGCAAATGTGGGCAAATATATTTGCAGAACATTTCCTGCAAATATGTTTGTGTCTGGACTGTACTTTTCACTGTGAAATAACTTGGGTCAGAACAGATATAAATACACGACTTTTCAAACAGGAGCCAACAAGATGCTGCTGATTTGTTTGACTGATTCTTATATTTTGGATAAACTGATGCTCGGTTATGATCATAATGGACCAAAGCTGCCTGTAAGTGCTCCCAGTAGCGTCTAGTGTGAAATACTGCAATAGAACATTTTGCTCTTTAAAATGTGAAGATTAATGACTTCGGCACCAGCTCTTTTGTTATTTATTTTCCGTAATGAAGGAACAAATTATCCGTGGCGTTCACAAAACTCTGACACGCTAAAGATCTCGGCGACACAGTGAAAGTCTGATCATCTCTCACCCGCAGGGCGGAAATGGAGCATGTGTTTATTATTGGCAGGAAGCAAAGATGTGAAATTCAAAGCAAAGACGAAATGTGGTCATGTGTCTTTACAAAGTGGTTCTTTGTTGTGAAACTCTACAGGTTCATTCATCACAGTGAAGGTTTGAAGCCAGTATGACGTGAACGTGATTGTTTTATACAACGCTGTTGTTTTTTTGGTTCTTTTTAATACAAATGAATGGCTGTATTTTATCCTAGAAAATGGCAACAACTTGTAGCTGATTTAGGTTAAGAGGCTGGTTGTTGTGGTGACTCAGAATAGAATAGAGTCGCTAAATGTAAGGACGCCTTGGACAAACTTTTCACACTTTTTAATCACGCATCCATGCTTTATATCTTACTTTAGCCTCCATGCTAGCTGCTGCCTCGGTTACAGCTACAGCCCTTTGCAATGTTATAAACCTGTTGAATATTATCTAAGCATGTCATGTTTAGAAAATGTTTAGTTCTTAGGCTAAACTTGGTTTCAGATTCACATTTTAGCTTCACTCAGGAAATTGAACCAATAAAAACAGACACATCATGGAATGATTATTTATTAGATCAGATACAATTGTAAACCTTCAGTAATTAATGTATGCATTATGCATCGTGTAATATGCTTTACCGTGATGTCCATAATAAATCTTAAATAAGGTATTAACAAGGAACAAGTGGCCATAAAATGAGTTTTTCATTAATTCCATACTTTACCTTTCAGTTCAAATCCACCTCCAACATGACGGCCTCGACACATGGACATGACCAATATGAAACCGATCTTCAGACCCAGGTTCTTCTCTCTGAGACTGACCCTCAGTTTGCTCTTTTCTCTGCTTCCTCCCTGCAGGTGGTTGATTAAGTGAGGATGCTGTGAGGGTATGTGGATTAACAAGAGACCCTGTTCACATCAGACCTCCAGAGTCCAGCCTCGTGCACCGTAAGCATCGCCAGTAGCTCTTTGGACTCAGCTGGCTCCGCAATTACTGCCTGTAAGTATTACTGCAGTTCTTGAATTGCTGATCACAACTGAGGGCACAGACTTGTTGTTGAGTGGTCAAACCTAGGAATTGTTCACACGTGAACTGGATTGAACTGGATAGGGTTAAGGTTTGAGCTATTGCTCCTATTGTTCAGGATCCCATCTTTTCCGAGTACAATCACCATATTCAGTAATAACAAACAGAGTAAACCTGTGTCACTTTGTGATTTCATATTCGTCATTTTCTCCTCTGACAATCAACCATTTAGCTGAAAAAAAAATGTCGAAAAAAGGGTATGGAGTAAAAAAGAAAAGGCAGAGTGTACCTCAGTAATCACCCTGTGGTCTGTACTTATATCTGCCCATGGATGACCAGACAATTCCACTTTTCAAGGATGAAACATTACAGGAATTGAAATCACTTCAGCTCTTTGGCATCAATTGCTCTAAAATGGCCAATTTCCTGTCTAGGACGTGTGTTTTCACATTTTTATCATTCCCTGCCATAGTTATCTGGTTGCACTTCAGGCCATCAGTCATCTGTGCTGCGTTGAGAGGAAGCCTATGTGCAGTAAAACTGATGGACGGCCTTACGCATGACTGAAGATGTATGAGACCTGCAGGCAAGTTAGTGGGGCTTTTTCATTGTATTTTCAGCCATACCATAAGATGCCACCGGGAAAAGAAAGCTGTCCTTAAGCTGCCTGAGCAGAACCTTCTGCAGCTGGTGTTTAGGTCCTGTTGCTGGACAGGAGAGATAATTAATTTACTTCATAAACTGTCTTACGTTCCTGTGTCCTGATTGGCTGAAAGAGGCTTGAAACAAGTCATCAAAGTGAGCACAGTTTGAATGTCTAGGATTTATAGTCTGCTGTGCAAATGAAGGAATGTTGTCGTGTAATGAAGTGGTCAAATTAGCATGGCTTTTAAGATTCCGACACTGGCCACATGGTGGACAGACGATCACTGGTACATTTGTTCGATCTTGGGTCTTACTGTATGAAGTTTCCATGTTCTCCTTGTGTGGATGAGGTACACGAGGTACTCAGAAAAAAAAACACCAAACATGTCAATTAGCAGTTCAGTTGATGGTTTGTTTGTTTCTATATGTGGCGCTGTGATGGACTGAGGAACTGTTGAAAGCAGTCACCAATACAATGGTCCTCGCAAAACAAACATGAATCACATTCATTTCACATGCTTCATTAAAACCAATTATGATTGTCATGAACCATTACTGTCATTATGGTTCATGACAATCCCACGAACCATAACTGTTCTATGCTGTGTTTACTTTATTCAGATTTACTGTCTTGAAAGTCACTTTAAAATCCTTGAAGGAAACATTTTATGCGTGACATCAGGAAGTAATTCATCATTTGCATAAATAAAACTAAAGGTCATCTCTCAGCGAGCTCTGACAAAGGAAACTCTTTTTTTTTAATGGCTTGCACTTCATCTCTGTGAGGCTGTTACTCACTTTCTGTTTACTGATTAAAACATATTGTTTTCAACAATGCTTCATAAAATGTACAAGTGAGGATCCTTGAAGGAAAGTCCACTGGCTACCACTGTGGCATCATACAGTCCACATCTGTGTTCTTTTTTTATTACAGCGGTTGCATTTCAAACACGTTGCCCTGTCAATCTTCAAATACCAGGTTTTGCTGTAGACATCATTAGATGTTCCGCCTATATTTGCCTGATGTGGAATTCATGAGTCTCTCCTCAAAGAATGGACCGAGTGGAGCAGCCTGTTTATTTTCACTCCCTCAGACATAATTGGTTTCCTGTGCTCCAGGGCAGCACATCATTCTTTTCCAATTAAAGGAACTCCCCTTCAGTTGAATTCTTCAGTTTTAATACAACTTGTCAAAAGCAGGTAATAATATTCAGATTCCTGCCAAAGGACGCAGTTTTCATCAACTTTTCAAATTCAAACAAGCTACAGTGGAGTCTTTGTCTGTTCCCCCTGAAGATAATGTGTGAAATCCGACTCAGAACAAAATACTTTACAAGAGCCTGTGCGCCCGAACCGATGTTTGATGCTGTCTGGGCAAATTACATTGAAAAAAAAAAATCCACTGCAGTACTTTAATTTGCAATACGAAAGATGGAGGGATTATGAAAATCACTGCACCTAATCCTGCATAGTAACAAAAGGGCTAGCAACCAACCAAAATCAACACGTTCTCTTTCGCTCTAAATATCACTTTAGTTGATGTTTTAAATCCTTTGCCTTCGTGGACCACAACATATGGCGGCGGTAAAACCCAACTTTCAGCTGTTACATGTTTTTATTCACTCTGTTTACGTGCTTGTGCTCTTGCTCTATCTGACTGAGCACACTTAACTTAATGCAGGCTAATGCACCACTGCTATAATTCCTACTTGTAA